TCTTTGGAAAACTAGTCATCGTAATGTCATCAAAAATTCCTTGATTTTTTAAAGAGAATGAGTTCAAGCAGTCGTGCCGTAGATTTTGTAAGCGAAAATCGATTTGTGGTCGAAAGTCTCCAGTATTTAGTTCTCATTTCTAGCTTCAAAAATCGAGCTGTTGATCCCGCGTTCAAGTATTAATTGAATAACCTGCAGGACTTTAAAGCAAGGAAAGATCGCATAATCCGTAAGCACTTGTGTCGTCGTACAAGATATTTTCCTCCATAGTTATAAATGTGACCGCATGAGGTCGTTATTCGCGTTTGACGACTTAGAAATGTCAACGCCTCGTTTGGCTGTACTGCGACTGCTGGGTTCAAGATGAGTGTGAATTATCGTCGCAGGCGCTTTTTCAAAGCGGGGATTGGAATTCGTTTTATCTCCAGAGTGCCACACTTCGTGACAGTTTTCCCGGCAAAGGAATTTCCGGATGAAAGGGAAAGTAGGGGTTGACCGCAGCCCCCACCGCGACCCCTCTCAGAGGTGGAATTATTCTCCACATCGCAAAGATTGCCACCCCCCGCGGCATCCCTAATCACCACGCTTGCATGCCCTTTACTTTTGTACCTCTATTCCTAAGTTTGTAAAATTATAATTTACTAATACAAAATACTACTATCGGCGGTAATGGCTATTGACCTATTGGGTTTTTATGTGTTTGGAACTTGAATTTAAAGACCTACTCTTTAATTTACAGCGTGAATACTTGTCACCCGGACCGCCGGACGCAAATGCATCAAATCCCTAGTAGCAGAACCATAGAAGGAAAAGATAACGATTTTGTACGAAAGTTAATTTTTTTTATATAATGCATGCATACGGAAGTGTTAAAAGTGAACATTTTTATGTAACCATTGTATAAAAAGAAGTCATAATTTTCGTGAGCTTTTCGTAAACATACTAAAAAATCTTCTGATTCGCGAAAAGCTCACGAAAATTATGACTTTTTTTTAGATAATAGTTACATAAGAATGTTCCTTTTAACACTTTTGTATGCATGCGTTATGTAAAAAAATAAAAAAATGACCTTATCTAGCTTTTATCATTTTTCATGTATTATGGTCAGATCTGAACTGTGATTTTTTTTTTTTTACATAAGCGTTACGCGTTTTTTATTTAAAACTACCATTTAGATGACAGATACATTTATGTTTTTTTAGAAAAAAATATGTCTTTTTTTACTTATATGTTTTTTTTACTTTCTTTTAGAAAAACAAAAATTTGTTCTGCTACTAGGGATACTACAAAAAACACAAGCATTCAATTATTCACGTTGAAATATTTCGCTACTTTTCAGTTAGCTCTAAACAAACTTTATCATACTGACATATGTATCTCTAAAGAACCTCTATCATACTGACATGTTAAGTACGCGACATGAAGCGCACCGTAGCACTCAGCGGCGCGGCTTGCAACCAGCGTAATACGCGCTTAGGCGCCTACAAACCTAACAGGGATACTTCACGCATTGCGCAATGCGTGAAGTATCCCTGTTAGGTTTGTAAGCGCCCATGCGTCTATTGCGCAATGCGTGAAGTATCGCTGTTAGGTTTGTAGGCGCCAGTGCGCATCTCGCGCCGGCAGTACGCCGCTTCGCTCTGTGTTAGGCTCTAATATTTAAACTCGCGGAATCAGAGTCTTTCGACCCATGATTTTGAAGTGTATGCACACCCTACGTAGGTTATTCTTACTTAAATTGAGGGGGAAAAATGCATTAAAGGAAAATATAATGTGTGTTTTGTAAATATTAAGCTGGTTCCGTATCAAATGTAATGATTTCCCAAGCATATTAATTTTTTCTTTTATATTTTGTGCTTTCACTGTGCTGCAGCGTAGTGCGCGCGCAACCAAACGCTCAAAATTGGACGTATTTAACTCCTAAAGATTGATGTAGAAATGGACCAAAATTAAAGATTGCGTGCTTTTTGGTTTTCTTTTCCTCTTTTATGCATGTTTGTGCAGTTTTTTTGCAGCACAGCTACGGGTAATAGAGATTAATATTGATGACATTGCTTGGAATAGGTTTTACAAATATTTACCACGTTTTAAGAGAGTTTTACTGCAACAAGGCACTGCAGATATCCCCTAGATGACAGTATCTTTAGTGGATGCAAGCACTTCATCAATTTTTACCATAGCGTAATTGAAGGGGGCTTTCTTTTCATTTAAAGATTGAAAAGCACGAAGCACGTTACTCGGACGTCTATGCACTGAATAAAAAAGTTAAATCCGTTAAATTCGGTAAATCCGAACTAGTCAGGATCATATGGAACCACGATTTTGTTCGGTACTCACAACCGAATTATTCGGTCTGCTCAGCCGAAGTGTTCGGTCCACTGAACCGAACTTTAAGAATGTATTATGGTTCGGTAGCACAAACCGAACAATTCGGTTGAACAGACCGAATAATTCGGTTGTGTGTACCGAACAAAACCTGGTTCCATATGACCCTAACTAGTTCGGATTTACCGAACTTTTTTTTCTCAGTGTGGGCTTTGAGAAGACAAAAGCCAAGAAAGAAAAATTAACCAGAAAGTATCGACTTTTTTTATTGTCATTTTTTGTGTCAGCCGGAAACCGCACTTTTTCATTTCGGCCAGGGGAAAAAATGAAAAAATAAATAAATAGATATTTGAAGTTTTACTTCCAAGCGTGGCGAATTGCACAGCTGAGACCTGCTAGCCAATTACGAGTTGTACCTCATGTAACGAAGCCGATTACGTACGCTTCAGTCGTTTCAATTAAGACTCTGAGAAAATTCTTGCTCGTACCAGCGCAAGTAGCGGTGTAGCGGCTGTCGGTGTTGACGAAATTAAGCATGTTCAGTTAGCAGGCGAGTTGATTTAATTACTCCTGGGAGGTTCGCAACATTCTTTCCCGGAGCTTCAATTGCTCTTATTGGGATAAGCAACTCCACTCCCGCAGTATTTATTCATTAAGCTTATGTTTTCTCGGAAAAACCAAGCGGTTGTTTAACCAGGATCACCTCATTCTCATGATAAAAGAGAAATAGCGTGGATTTTTTAGCCCCCTTTTGAACAAAAAGGAATAAGGTAGGTGAGTGTAAACTTTTTGGTTAGATGAAAATAAAAGTTGAGTCGCTAGCCGATTTTTCAAATATGAGCAGTGATTGCGACTCAGGCCGTGCTTTAATAAAATAAAACAATGTACAAGAGGATGTGAGTTATATTTACATAGATTTTACTTTAACATGGTGAACGAGCAAAAGTATCGACCAACACTTTGGTCTTCCTCAGTGAAAGTGGTGTGCATCTCTTGCGCATTGTTTTATTCTATTAAAGCATGGCCTGAGTTGCAATCACTGCTTATGTTTGAAAAATCGGCTGATAGCTCAGCTTCTGTTTTCATCATTTTGAGTAGCCGAAAACTGAAAAATCAGCCAACAATCAGCCCACTGAGGCCCATTGGCGTTTGTACGGTGTATATCTGGATTACATTTTGCAATAAGGAACCACTATTTCTAGCTCTTCCATGAAAGAACGTATCTGAATAAGGAAATCAATGGCATATACGTGGTCTGTCCGGAAAGTATCAGGACTTTTTAGATTTTGAGAAATCGAGCTTACCTATGACATTGTGGCTTTAATCTCCTTCGAAGTATTCTCCGTAAGACACAATGCACTTGTTCCAGCGATTTTTGAGCTGTTCAAAACAGTCCAAAAAGCACTCCTTTGGGATGTCCTTCAGCGCTCTCGTCGTATTCTCTTTTGGGTCATTGATGGAGTCAAATCGAGTCCCTTTCATTGGAGATTTCATCTTTGAGAACAGCCAGAAGTCGCAAGGAGCTATGTCTGGACTGTATGGAGGATGTGGAACCAGAGGAATACCGAGCTTTGCCCAAAAACTGTTGCACAAGACAGGAGGAATGAGCCGGAGCGTTAGCACAAATTTCGCTGCCACTCTACGGAGCCCGAGTTTTTCAGTTAAAATTTCCGCAACGACGGTCTTCGGGATATTTAGCTGCTTTTCCAGTTCCCGCATGGTTAACCGACTGTCTTGGGCAATAGTTTCCCGAACTTTTTCCACATTATCGGGAGAATTCGTCGACGAAGGTCTCCCGGACCGCGGATCACTAGCGACTGTTTCACGACCCGATTTAAAGCGATCATATCACTCATAAATATTGCTTTTGCTCATAGAATCAGTGCCAAAAGCTTTTCGAATCATTTCCATGTTCTCCTTGGCAGTTTTTTCTAGATTAAAGCAAAATTTAAAACAAATTCTCTGATCTTCACGCTCGGTCATTTCACGAAAAATAAAAAACGCGACGATAGCACTTGACACACACACTTTGATCAGTTGATTGCAATCGAATGATTAAAGGTGTGAAAGCCCGATTGTGTGGCTGCATTGGAATGGACATTGGCAAAGTCCAACCCAAGTTTCAGCTCATTATATGCATTACATTCCGAGATAATCAAAAAGTCCTGATACTTTCCGGACAGACCACGTATAGTGGTTCCTTATTGCAAAATGTAATCCATCTAATAACTTTTTCATTCTCCCTAATCAATGCGTTTTAATTGTGAAAAGCAATTTGTGTCTCCTACACGGCTAACCCACGAGTAAGGGTGACTATAGGAAATGAGATCAACAATTGAACGTGGGTAGATAGTGTTGAGGGTACGAAAGGGCAGTGACGCGGCGTGGCGTGCTTTGCGATACATCGATTGATCTGCCATTTAAACCTATGGAAAATGATCGATAAATAGAGTGTTCGCAACGAGCACCTTACTAATCGATTCTTTACTATAGCTTCAAATGGGAGAATATCGATAATCGATCATTCACGCCTCGCCACCGCGAAAGGGCCCAGGCGCGAGAAGAGCGAGGCGGAAGGAGAGAGGGATGACAAATGAGGAAGTCCGCAAGTTTCCGCGGCGCGGCGAAGAGGTTATGAATCTGTATGATGGATGTGTTGTTTTGGTGTGTTGCAGACATTCAGGAGTTCTACGAGCTGACCTTGTTGGACGATAGCAAATCCATCCAACAGAAAACCGCTGAAACAATCCGCATAGCCAACAAATGGGAAGCCAGCGATGGACCGATAGCGCCCTCTCACAACGATGTAAGTCACAAGATGAATGATTGCCCAACTTCTTTTATCCGTAGTCCGAGTCCTTCGGTCCCGTCCCATGCTTCGCTAAGGAACAACGCCGCATGAACATATCGACGTTGCCGAATTTCCGCCGATAATACATTTATTTTTGAAGAAAGTCAGAAGTATTTGTTTATGAAATGTATTGATATTTCTGATTATCTTGCAAGTCAAATTCTCTTGAAAATCGAACGGAATATATTCACAGGTTGTCTTCAAAATACGTATTCAATCAAAAGTAATTTGGCAACGTTTCAAGGTTCATACGACGTTTATCTTGCACACGGCATTGCCGCAACCACTTGACTCGTGCGTACACCTATCGAGACCTTTCATTTCTACGTCGCTATGCGTCCAAATTGCGAGCTTGGTTTTTAATGACGCCGTTATTTGTTTTTCCTTTTTTCATTTTTTGGTTTCTCTCTTTTTCCTGTTTTTCTTTTGTATTTTTTTCAGATATTTATGGGAATCAAAACGTTATTTACTTTGTCAGTACCAACAGACATATACCTTATCACAGAACAAACCGTTAATTAGTTCTTAAGTATAGTTAATAAAGAAAAGTTAAAAAAGTAAAAATGAATAAATGCAAAAAACAAAAATCATAAAAAGGATGAGTAGTAAGGATAGATTTTCGTGTTTTGTGTTAATGATGATAATGAGCCCCATGCTCAAAATCCATAATCACAATCAAGCAATTAGTAAAATGCGTGTTGTGACAGAACTGACAGAACTTTTTCATATCCTTTTCATGGTTTCTGCTCCTTTTTGAACACACAAGATTGAAGTTTTAAATTTCGGTAAAAATAACTGCCCAGCCTTATGACCAAATAAGAAGTCAGATGGATACTTGCCGTTGGTCTTATTGGGGTTTGTAGTAATAAACCAGATGTCTGAAAAGAAAGAAAGCTTACATTAAATGAGGCAAGACTTGTGACATTCTGAAATTTTTTTAAATTTAAGATAATCCTTCATCTCTCTAGCATCACATTTATTTAATGGCACATATGGGGATATCCATTACCGGGTAGAAAGTTTACTCACAGGAAAGTCATGTTTGTCCATATATTAAGCTGAGTAGGAGTATATGGCGTTTTAAAAACGAGTGTGTGTGCTGTTCACGTCTGAAACTCACCACTTTTAAGTCACATGTCTGAAATTTGTACCTCGTCTTCTTGTGCGACACCGCGGAATTCCACCCCTTTGATTTTTATGCACGAACTTCGTCGAAAAAAACAAGCAAACTCAGATCAAAGCTAGCAAGCCCATCTCTGCGAAGTGCCTTTTTCACTCATATCCCTCCGCTTAATTAATTCCTGTAATGCAGGTTTCACAAAGCGACACAAAAATAAAAACCACTTGACCACTTAAAAAACCTTCAGCCAACTGTGAATATACGTGAAAACTTCATGAAGAACATAATTTAATTTCTGCTTTGCTCTTTAATTTCCGATTTTTAATTCCACGAACTCTTTGTAGGTAAAGTGTCTCATTTGGACGCATTTACACTTAAAGGAACAATATAAAATAATAGTGTGCATAGGTTTTACTTACTCCATAGATCCTTCTTATTAAATTCAATTTCACCTAGTTCCCTTCAGCATAAGTACGTAACTCTCTTCTATTTAAAAGAAAGCTTTTTCAACATCGTGTCACGGTGAATTAAGTGTAACAAATTAACATAAATTTCACAAAAATGATAATATTTCTAGTTCTTTCGCAATTTTATTATAGATGCAGACAATATGTTCAAAGTGTTTGGCATGAACTTGTGATGATTAAAAATATTTTGTGATGCTATCATTTAACCTCAATGCTTAACAAGCAACTTTCGTTTCTAGTTCCTTTAAAAAAAATTATGCCATTCGTTTCCCTACACAGATGGGTAATTTTATAGATGAACCAGAAATAATAGTATTTTATTACGTACGCTTGATAGATCAATCGGACCGCGTTCAGCAGAAAGGAACCAAGCCACATCAGCTATTGCCAAATTTACTGGGCAATTTAAAAATTTTAAGGAGTTTGCTTCTATGCAGGAAATTCACTGAAATTTGCACAAAAATCCGTACAAGCGTTATCATGAAAACAAATTATATTGCCCAATTAAATTTGGCAATAGCTGATGTAGCTTGGTTCCTTTTTGCATAGAGCGGTCCAATTCTTCTTCTGCCTTGTGTCCATCTCAACATGAATTTCGACCAGGCTTCGATTTGAATAGCTTAGTTTTAAGTTTTTATATTCAACCTCTGCAGAAAACGCGTTTGAGAACAATTCTGCCGTCCTAAGGAAGAACGCCGTATGAATATCCAAAATTTGCCAAATTTCCCCAGATTAAAAATGTAACTTCGAGGGAAGTCATGCATATTTTTCTTTGAAATTTTCAGATATTTTAGATTAAATTTTGTACAAAATTGTCAAAAAAAATAGACGGAAAACATCCAACAGATTCCTTGAAAATTTGCATTTTATCGGAGGAAATTTGGCAACGCCTGAAAGCTCATACGGCGTTTTTCAGCAGCACGGCAGCATTAGCTTCAAGTAAGTAAGGATAGAGGGGGGGGGGGACTCGTGAACGATTTGCATTATCCCCGTGCAAGCAGCGCTTCGATTATTATCGAAACTATCGAATTGTATCAAATCGTTATCGAATGAGTTTGCTCGATAAATTCCTATCTTCACAATGCTTTATATCGATCAAGGTCATTCGATAACGATTCAACAATCGATTCGTAGCAGTTCTTAGTTCGTAACAGCTGTTTAGAAACTATCCACCGGGAGCTCAGATCGGACGAGAACATATTTGCGCAGCACCGCGCCGTTAGGTCCAATATAAACCGTATAATTCCACGATAAAACATAGTATATTTTATTTAAATAATCCAAAACAGTCGTGAACATACAGCCGCAGTTATCAATCCAAGCCCCCCACGCCACCTTGCGCTATGCTCCCTGTTCGGATATTGCTTCCCCGGTTTCCCGATCAAAAAACAGTGGCAACTTTACTGAGTTTCATGTTCGTTTTAATGGCGTTTCTTGAACAACCGATTTTCCTCGAAGAACCTGATATCAAGATCGGGTAATAAGGTCTATTAAACAGTGTTCTCAGCGATCGGAAAATCAGGAAAGCCCTGGAATTTTGTACAATTTTATTTGCGGGACTCGCAAATCTTAAAAGCTAAAGGAAATACAGGAAAACACAGTGATACTAATCGAGTAAATACATGTTAGGTACCTACATTTGAATACCGTGCGGGTATTCATCCGAGTTTTTATTTAAATACCCGGGCATTTTATTCCGTAATTACGAAACGCCATTCTGTGATTAACGCAACTGACCCGTTAAAAAATTAATAGATTGGAATGTTCGTATTTAATCACGTAATGTAGTGTCATGTGCGAAGCACGGGTTAACCACTAGGATTCTGTATAATCTCGTCAAAGTCAAATTTGAAGCGAATTTTATTCCAAGTTCCGAACCTCTTTTGGACGTTCTGCCCCGGTTTTTCTCATCAATTACCAACACCAGTGGACACCGTTGCTAACAAATTCGACCCATCAGATCCGTTGGTTTTCGATAGGTCGAACCTTTTTTAGAACCATCTAGCGAGGTGGTACCAAAATCACGCACCACCATTGCGATTCACTAGTCATCGAATCGGAGGTTCCGAACTTAAATAAAATGGCAGCTCGGAGGTTCGGACACAAAAGTAGCACCGAACCTCTGAATAAAATTCGCTTTTGGAGGGAACTTGACAACAAAGTTGGGAGAGTGCGACACATCAAAGTGAGGCTGAAGTCTTGGTGGATCGGGGAGACAAGCTTAGCCCCCCTCTAGGCTCTGCGGAATTCCTTGTAGAAATTAATCGAGAGTCAAATATCACCAGCCTCGCACAACCGCTTCCTATTAGCGGCGGCTGTTAACCGGATAATGGTCTCCAAATCTAATGTGTGCTCTGCTCCAGTTTATCTTCCGCCCTAAGCACCTTTTAATAACTTCACATCAACTAAGTTCGGGTCCGCTTCCTCCTTCTAATCCCCGATGGAATGCCAATGAATGACCTGAAAATTAATTTGTTAACTTCTCTCGATTTACAGAAGAAAAGCGACAATTCAGAGGCCTCTATTATGCGGTAACTTTCGAGTTAAGGATAAATAATATGTTCCATATTTTATTGTTATTCCAGAGGATTGTTTTGCTAATTGGACGCATTGATGCTACACGGAACTGTGTGAAAAGGAATGATATGAAGATGAACTATGTACATACGATATTCGTGCTACATAGTTCCTCTTGATTTTATTAATTTTTACACAGTTCCATGTAGCATCACTATGTCCAATTTTCAATTGTCAACTGGACCTAGCTCAACAGAAAACTACCCATTTGCTTTTTTTAAAAGCAAATTTCAGAGACGACTGTTCCGGTATCGATTGCCAAACAAACAATAATGATAGCAATTATGTGCTTTTATAATGTGCAAAAATGTTGTTCGATCACAGTTCTGCGAACTGAAGCGGGTACAAAGTACTTGTGCTTCTCATAATAGCACAGGTATACATTTTTTTCCCTCTTCTCTACCTTTTTCTTCATCTTCTTCATCTTCTCCTTCGTCGTCTTACTTTTACTCTCATGAGGCAGACAGTCTTTCACTGGATTTTAGCGCTGAATCCGAAAGAATCATCCGCTGAAAATCTAACGAGAGACATTATGTAAGGTTCGTGCCCTATTTTGGCTGTAGACCCGTGTCATCATTTTGAAATGTTAAAGCTTCTAAAAGAACATACATTTTTTATAATAAAGCGTACTGCATCACGTGTATGAAACACGTGGCCTCTAAATAGTTGCCCGCATGGTTGTGATATTGACTTCAATTATTCATGTTTGTTATTCATGTTTTTTTATTCATGACCATTCTCTAAAATGAAACAAAATGACGTCGATTGTAAATTTGAAACCGAAAGCTCCA